TGAAACTCACAGGTCTGCCCGCTGTTGACTTCCTGTTTATAACAGTCAGGGGTTGGGGTGGGGGGCACTGAAGGAATAGGAGGAAAGGAGGACAAGCTGGGGAGCCCATGGACCTCCAGGCTGAACAACAGCGCCCCCAGGTGTCCGCCACAAAACCGGGGGCCACTCGGCATTCTTTTTCTTTGCCTTTGGGAGTTTACCACGCTCCTTCACAGGAGGGAAAAAAAAACAAAAAGAACCGAGCAAGCCTCATTTTTTCGTGGAAAGAGGTGCAGGGTGCTCGCCAGGTGGTGCCCTCCAGGGCAGAGGACAAAGGCAAGGGCTGGAGGGCTGGTGTCTCAGGGGTTCTTAGAGTCACCAGCTTGTGTCAAAGAAGGCACCCTGGAGGTTAGGGTCCCCTCCTCCAAGGTCATTATGCAGATGAGAAACGAGGCCGGGAGGGAAGAGGAGTCCGAGTGGGTCAGAGGGCAAACCCTAGAAGACCTGGCTCCTCAGAACATCCTTGATGTCCTCTGTGGTCCTCACTGTTCAGAGCCAATGTGACCTCACCTTAAGCGTATTGCCGCACGAGGCGCTCACCCACTGATCCCCAGAGGCACTGCACCCCGAGCTCTGTCTGACCTTCCTATGTCTCCTCTCACTCTTCCACTAGGGTTCTGTGAGCCCTGTGTCTCAGCCACCCTGCGGCAGCACCCTCCATCTGGCAGGGACCCCCCAAGAAGTGGTTTAGCTAGCCTGTCTGGGTTGTCCATAGCCAGCTCACCCCACTGTGTGGATGCTCAGGGCTGGCCATTCCCGCTTCACAACTGGCTATGGCCGTGGGATGCTCCCAGGGTGAACTTTGCCTGAACGGAGGCATCCGTTCTCGTGGTAGCTTTTAGGGGGCAGGTAGGTGGTTACTGCCATTTTGTTATGGCCCCTGTTGTGGCTTCCCTGGCCCTGGGAGGGGTGTCCTGTACACTCATCTAGATGGCCTCTTCCCTGAATTCTCTTGTTGTCCAGGCAGGAACCGTGACGAAGGTCCTCGCCTGCAGTCACTGTTCAGACGATTTCATCTGCGGGCTGCAGTCAAATCTGGAACTCTGGGTGATAACTCACAGGTCTGGCCGCTTTGGGTTTCTGGGTGGCTGCTCTCAGCCCGCTCTAGCACCTCAGCTTTGCTGGTTTCTAAGCCCCAAGAACCTAACGCTCTTAGAATCTGAGCCCAGACCCTAGAGAAAAGCGTTCCACACAGCCAAAGGCCGTAGGAGGCAGGTCCCAGGAGTGGCAAAGGGTGTATAAGCTTGTGTACAAGTGTGTGCACCCTTGTGGTCAGGGGTGTGGGTGGTCCAGCCCAGGCCAGAAGCAGGTGGTTTGGGAAGTCAGCGTCTTGGGGTGGGGCTAAGGAGCCATGCTGCAGATGTCCAGAACAGTGGGGCTGGGGTCACTTGTGTTATAGTTCCCCGGGGCATGAAGCTCTGGAGTCACCCAGTGATTGTGTTGGGGTCCACAGACATGCTGTTCTGAATGTCTAGTTCCCAGCCTGGCTCTTCCTCGTCCTTCCTTTGAAACCGTGAGCACCCCAGCGGAGACCCAGGCAGCCAGGGTTCCTGGGTGAAGAGTCCAGGTGGTCTCTTGCGGGGCTTCATGGGCCTTTCCCTCGGGCTTGGGGCCTGTCCCAAGGGTCGGGGGCCAGGTTTCAGTTCCTCCTAGCTCTGGTCCCCCAGTTTCACTTTGATTCAGTGAGGGAAAGCCTGTGTGGGAGCCGGAGCCACTGAACCCCCTCACCGCTCTGTTTACATGCCTGCTTAGCCCAAGCCTCCCACAGTCCCCCAGACTCCAGTGCCCATTCACTGCTTTTGGGTTCAGGGGAGCCCTGGGAATATGAATTTGGGTATTGGGACCCCTTTAAACTTAAAACTTATTGAGGACTAATTAAAGTATTGGGGCTAATTAAAGTGGGTAAAATTAAATTATTAGTTTATGAAAATAACAACAATAAAGAAGTAACACATATAACAACCATAAATAAAACATGTATAAGAACTGTTTTCCAAACTGAAGATTTAGTAGGGGTGATGCTGTTCTACACCTGTGCAAGTATTTTTAGGTCTGGTTTGACAGGACAGCTGGAGTCTCAGGGGTGCCTCTGAACTCACTGTCATAATGCCACACTTCCTAGGCTCTGGAAAACTCCACTGTGTGCTTGAATGAAGGCCAATGACACTGTGACATTATGGTGAAAATAGTTCAACCTCACAGACCCCCTGGAGGGTCTTGGGAACCCCCTGAGTCTCTGGACTCCACCTTGGGGGTTTCTGCACCGGCTGCTCCTGACTCTGATGGTGCCTGCTCATCTCATACAGACAGGGAGAGCAGATTCTGTGGTTCTAGTTAAAGGAGAGAGAGCGCTGGGATCTCCCATTCTTAACCGGGAGGGAGCGGCAGGGCACACCGGGCTTTGGCCATCCTCTCACAGCGGATGTGTGGTTTCTGACTCTCCTCTCAGCCTTTACTTCCACAGGGAGGCGTGACCACTGAGCATTTCGTATTCCAGCAGAATGTCTGTAGGGTCTGAGGTCTGACTTCCTTCCCTCCAGTTTTCATCCTTTTGTGCTCCCTCCGAGCAGGGGAGGGGGACCCACCCATCTCTTCACCCGGTTCAGTTCTGCACTAGCTTGCAGGCCCCACCCTGGGCATATTTTTGGTGGGAGGAAAATCCAGCTATGATATTGATTGGGAATGAAATATAATAAAATAAAATAAGAAAGTGCCTTCAGTATTTATCTTGATGCCCAGTACTAGACGAAAAACGAATCTGAAAGGAGATTTTTGAACTGATTACATAGGGGCTTCTGGGCATTTCTGGGACACTAGGGGAGAGTGACTCACACGCATGTGTGTGCACTGTGCGTGTGTCTGATTTCACTTTAACCCCCCGCCCCCCAGTCTTCACTTTCACTGGCGTGAGTATCATTTGCATTCATCTCTGCTTAGCTGGAGAAAGAGCCTGCCCTGAGGCAAGCTGAGATGTTCCAGGGAAAGAAAATTCACTAAAAGAAGTTGTAAAGAAGGTGATGGTGTGAGAGACATCGCTTATAGTGAGATCAAGGGAGCTATGAGCAAACAGAGAAAGGTGTGGCCCCTTGGGAAAGGGTTAAGGGAGGCGGGGTTAGAACTTCCCAGCACCAACCACCAGGTGGCACCATTGACCCAGGACAGCTTAGTTGCTGTCTAGGGTACCCGGGCGGTGGGTACTGGCCATTTGTGAATTGCTATGCTTGTTCCTGGGCAGGAGTGGCATGGCTGGGTAGCCCTGACTCTCACTTCTCTGCCAGAGGGGAGGGTGGCCATGGTTGCTGGGGTAAATTCCACCCTTTTCTCACCCTGTGGCCCCGACGTCTGGACACAAACCTTTCCAGGAATTCTTTGGTCTAGCCTGAGCTTTTACTTGGTGTGTGACCCTGGGCAAGTCACCGCTTTCTGAGGCTTGCTTCTCTCACGCTAGAACAAACAGTTGGATCTTAAGGGTCCCACACTGGGTGGTGTGTCAGGAGTGAGAGTGGTGTTGGAGCTCCATTCTGGCTCTTTCTGTTTGTTAGCTGTGTGACCTTGGGCAGGTCACTTCTCACAGGAAATATCTTTCAGTAAACCTTTTCCTGGTTTTAAATACAATATCTGATTGGAAAATGCCTTGAAGTGTGTGTGTGTGTGTGTGTGTGTGTGTGTGTGTGTGTGTGTCTGTGTGTGTCTGTGTGTGTCTGTGTGTGTCTGTCTGTCTGTCTGTCTGTGTCCCTGGGGACTGACTGTTAGATAGGGTTCTTAATGTCTCTCTCCTTAGGTCTGAATCTCTGCCTGTGAACACAGAAAAAGGCCTTTTGGCAGATGTCTGCTTGAAGACACTGTGTCTCTGTCTTAAATATTTCTTCAACCTCCTTGTTGCTCTCTATCTCCACCGCCCTGGCACTGGCCAGAGATTCTCTTTGTTCCCTTTGGACTATTGCTACAGCCGCTGTGCTGGTCTCTGTCTCCTGATTTCTCCAAAGAGTCTGGCTTTCACATAGCACACTTAATGTCTCCTCTGCAATTCTGTTCTGATGCATGGCCCTCAGGAGAGTTTTAACAGTTCTCGTCCACACACTGTCCTCAGAAGCCCTTTGAACTTCTTAACAAAGCTGGCTGCCTCCTGAGACGAAGTCCCTCCCCGCTCCATGCTCAGTCTGTCAGACGGAAGCTCCTTCAGCACTTCCTCGGCACCTCCTGCCCTTTCCTGCTGACATCACGTAGGTGGGCTAGAGTCAGGCAACCTGGGGTCTTCTACTTCACCCACTGCTATTCCTCTGAGAGCGACCTGTGAGCCTCAGTTTCCCCATATGTAAACAAAGGTACTGGTTGTACCTGCAGCTGAGCCACAGGGATGGACTGAGCATGTGGGGTGCTGAGGAGACTCCCGAGGCCTTCCACTGTGGTGCAGTGTCCCTTCCCTGCCCCACCATAGCCCAGGTGACATTTTATGACTTAGGATCCAGCTTGATTGCCACTTCCACAGAGAGGGGTTCCCCTGCCCACCTGTCCCCGCAGCACCGTTAATAAAAAGGAAACATCTGTCACTGATCCATCCCCCTCTGTTCCCCAAAAACCGAGCTCCATGGGGGCAGGGTGTACATCTGTGGCAGTCACCATGTCGCCTTAGTGCCCAGCTCAGGGCGTATGTGTCCTGTACGGGAGACTGGGTGTCTGAGGCGTGGGTTTGGCTGCCTGGTAAGGGCAGCCTGTGGAGTGGAACTCCGAGCCTTACCTGTTATAACGACTCCTCCTTCCAGCATGGCGGCTAAGCCCATAGAAGGGAGTTGGGAAGACCATTCTACAGGGCGTGGAGCACCCTCTGGCCTAAGGCACACATGCATACATGTGTGTGCCTAGGATTCTCTTGATGGCTGAGCATGAGGGTGTGCACCTAGTGTGAGTGGACTGTGGCCCTGACCAGGAACGACCGTAAGGAACAATACAATCACCAGCACTGAAAAGTTTTGAGGACGTGCATTTAAATGACTGATGCAGTTAGTACGACCAGTTTACCAACTGGGTACTCTCATCACCCTCCCTTTTACAGAGATTCAGAGAGCTCAAGGAAGTTGTCCAAGGTCACCCAGCTCAGCCCGGAGTTTGGCAGAATGGGCAGGGACCTGGTTTGCCTCCCAGTGTCACAACAGGATAGTGCTGGTGTAGGGCGGAGTGTCCCCCGGGGCGTGTCCTCAGCTCTCTCCAGGTCTGCCCTGAGGCTGGATTTGGAAAGACCCAGCTCAGGTTTGTTTCACCTCTCAGGTCTCCATTCCGAAACATCTCCAGTAACACTGGCTCTGCACTCTTCCTGGCCACATTTGAGCCAGTTAGCTCCAGTATTGCCCGGCCACTCACATGGATGACGCCATGGATGCATGGGGTCCCTCCCAGCAGTCATGTGTGCTTTCACAGCTGAAGATCTCCCTTGATCCCTGGTTTCTTTATCTGTTAGAAAGGGGGCTTCCCCATCTTTCTTAGTAACTAAAATGTTACCTATAATATCTGATTTGCGCTGGCCCAAGGGAATGATTATTATTTTTCTAATATCAGAGCAGAGTGGTTTTACCCTGAATCTAAGATTCCACATGAAAGCCTTGAGGAGACATTTCTCTATTCCCTGTTCTTTTGCCTACCCCACCACCCGCCCCCGCATCATTTTTCTCTCAAGATCTCATAGTATAGCACGCTGGCCTCCAACTCACAGTAAATCTCCAGCCTCAGTCTTCAAGTGCTAGGATTGCAAGCACCATGTCTGGCTTCCTCTCTTGTTGAACATGGTATATCAGCTTGATAAGGTTATTCTGGCTAGGTTCAGAAGGAAAAGAAGAAACAATCAGAATTTATTCACTTATTGAGATGGGGCTGGTGTTGCTCATGCTGGTCTTGAACTTGCTTTGTAGCCCAGGATGATCTTGAGCTTCTGATTTTCCCACCAGGATTACCTGGATTAGAGGTGTAACACACACTCAGTTTACAGAACGCATCAGGATCTTTCCCGGTGCTTGTGCGTGCTGGGCAAGCACTCTAGACAGGCAGCATTTTAGCCCCATGCTTCGGAATCTCAGCTGATTCCAGCTGTGCCTGGGGTGTGTGTGTGTGTGTGTGTGTGTGTGTGTGTGTGTGTGTGTGTGTGTGTGTGTGGTGTGCTGTTGTAGGCTGTGAGCGCATACTCAGGTGGAGGAGCCTGAGTCCCCTTGTTTGGTTTCAGTATTGCCTTGCTGTGTGATCTTAGCTGTGGTCCTGTCCCATCTGGGCCCCATTTGGATGCAGGAAGCCTGACAAGTCCTCTAGCTCCTGGTTCCCTCTCTTCTGTCCTCCTACGCCGCCCCCCTTCTCCATCTTCCGTTCATTTCTTTTCTCTCTGAGACACAGACTCCATCCAGTACCTCTGAATGGCACTTTTGTTCAGTGAACATTTCTTCTCTGCAAAGGACGACTGGCCAGGTTTGTAGCTTTTAAATGCTGGACATTTTATCAGTTAAGAACTCTTGTAGCTCTCTCTCAAGAGACAGCCTCAGGGAAGCAGACAGAAGAGGCAGAGGGAGAGGTACACTGGAGACCGTTGACAGGCCAAAAGCCAAACCTCTCTGGGGCCCAAGGCTTCATCCCTCCAGCGAATGGCTCTTTCCTGGACCTCCTTCATATTCTTCCTCATGGTTCAGAGAATCTTCCAAATCAATGTCACATGTCTTCCTCTCAGCTCCCTGCAGAAGGGGAGAGGGGTGAGAGCAAAGCCCAAGTCTGAGCTGTCCTTGTTCAAGGCCTCTTTGAGATAGGGCTGGGAGCACTGGACTGGGAGTCCTGAGCCCTCAAGTCTTGCCTCTGCTCTCCCTTGCTGCTGATCTTGAGCAACCCTTTCTGGGCCTCAGTCTCCCCTCCCTTTCCCTCTCCCCTTTTCTTCTTTTGGGTGTGTGATTGTGGCATGTATATGGCATATATGTGTGTGGTAAATGCATGTGAATGTGTAGGTGCACACACCCATGCACACTCATGGGGAGGCTGTAGAAGGTCATTAGGAGTCTTCCTCTATTGCTCTCCATGTTTTTGCATGGAGAGACAGGTCTATTACCAAACCTGTTTGCCTAGGCTTGTAGGCCACTGAGTTCACAAGGATCCACTACCTAATGGTAAGGTTACAGACACGCACAGCCATGCTCCGCTTTTTATGTGGGTGATGGGGATTCAAATTCAGAACTCTATACTTGAAGAACAAGCAACCTTACCCACTGAGACATCTCCACAGCCGTTTCTCTCCTCCCTCTGCTTTTTGAGACAAGGTCTTGACGTGTAGCCTAAGCTGGCCTTGAACTCCCAATCCTCCTGCCTGGACCTCTGAGTGCTGAGGTTTCAGGGATATGCTACCACACCCAGCCCCGTGTGCTTACCAGCAAAGAGAAAGTGCACAATTCCCTCAAAGTCCTGGCAAATTTGGTGAGCCCCAGTGCCCAGGAAAGTGCTCTGCAGAGCACCTACTGGGCATCAGTGCAGTCCACCTTATGGGTCTGCTTTGGGATCCTGCCCAAGCAGGAGTTTTGCCATCTCTCAAGTGGGGACAAACAACCATGAAGCCACCGCTTTCTGAAGAAGGCAGGCCCGACTGGTCACTTGTCCTCTGGGAACTCTGGGACAATTTTCCTGCCTTGTCCTCCAGGCAGTCTCTTGGAGGTGGTAGTGGTGATGGCAATACGGTCTTTTTCAGGAGTCAAGTCACCGTGGTGCTCACCTAGCATTCCAGTGGGAGAGGGTGGAGGCAGGAGGATCACTCTTTCCAGGCCTACACAGAGAGAGCCTGCCACAAATAAAAACAGAGCTTAACAACAACAACAACATAGTACCTCCCGGATGGGTAGAGCCTTTGCATAGGGCCTGTGAAGCCCCGAGTTTCATCCCCAGATCCACACAAAAAGGTGGTGGTGCACACCTGTAATCCCAGCTCTGAGAGAGTAGAGGCAGGAACATTCCAAGTTCAAGGTCAGTTTCATAGTGCGTGCCAGGCCCGCCTGGGATACAAGAGACCTTGTTTCAAAGCAAGCAAATGAGCTATCCAGCCACCCATCCATCCATCCATCCATCCACCCACCCACCCACCCATCCATCGATCCAGCCAGCCAGCCAGCCACCCAGCCACCCAGCCATCCAGCCACCCAGCCATCCA